AGCGTCGTGATTTCAGATCGATCGGACACCGATCTTCGTCCGATTCTGATAAGAGCGCTAAGCGCTATACGTTTCGACAATTGAGCCAAACCTTTTCGTTGTCGACTAGTATTTGTCTATTTTAATTATTAACCGTCTATTCGTTGTCGCGTTCTTAAATTTTATTCTTTATAGATAACAATTTATTTTGACATGTCTAAAGATGATATTCGACTGACTTATGATGTCGATTCCAACCTTCAAAAAGATAAATGTATTTTAAAGTAAATTAGCGCAGTGTCACTACAAATGCTAATGTTCTTCGTAAGAAGGTTCACGATGTTATAGCGTAATCATAGTTTATTTATTGCATTTAAAATCAGAAACAATTTAAAATCAGTTGAATAAATTTCAAATGTAGAATAGCTGTCACATGCAAAAAAAAAAAAAAAAAAAAAAAAAAAAAAAAAAATTATTACAGTTCGATAACGTTCGATCATTATGACGTGTGTCAGTACGCGTATGAATTAATCATGCCGGCACTTTTGAATCAGTCATTCCTTCATGTATTCAACTTACTCGAAGGTGTTGCAAATTAAGCTGCTAAATATCATGATCGATTATTTGTTATTCACTAAACGCCAGCGTGTATTATTTATCAAAGACGCTGCCGAGATTGCAAGATTATATGCGATAAGCGTACTTGTTCTATTGAAAGCTGTCTTGTTACGTTAATAAAACCGCCGATAACTTGACTTAACAATAGCGCGCATAGACATAGAATAACCGATATCTATCAATCCGTTTTAATATTTTTTTTTTTCTTTTGCATTTATACACTCCTCGTTCCTCTAGTTTAATTTTTCAATAAAAGAAGCTTGTGTATTAATTTCTCTTCCATCTATATATAAGAATACTATATCACTAATTAGCATATTAATAAATATTATGCCGTACTATCGATTCTCGTGGCGGAATCCCTTAAAGCAATCTTTGCGTTTCCCCTCGTCGCGGCTCTAATGACGCAAGTTACAAGAGCAAACTCGGCGCGTGTTCGCGCGAGACCGAGGAAAGCGTATTAACCGAAGCTCGAAAGCAAAGAGCGAGAAAGATTTAATCTGGCCAATATTCACGCATGCACTCGCGAAAGGGACGGTGGTGCGAGCGATGTTCGCGTCGATGTTAGCCGTAATCCACATACGTACACGCGCATACACGTGCATGCGAATGTGCGCTTTAGCACCTGTATACATCGCACATGAAATATGTAAGCGTATATGCTCACCCTTTCGTCGCGGACGCGCGTGCTCTATTCTCGGCTATTATAGTTTGCCGTAGAGTCTCCATTGAAACCCGATATACTTTGTCCGCTCGGCCTATCATCGAAGAACGCTCGTCGTTTCTTCGTTTCTATCTTTGTCGGTTTTGTATTCGCTCACCGCCTTCCACATCAAGCCTCATTCTCCTTGTCGCGTGCAATACGACGCGTATCCACTATCCGAGCGATCATGACTTCGCGGAATAAGGTGCGGCGATAGATAAGTTGCGCTTCGAAGAAAGAAGAAAAGAAAGGGAAAGGAGGATAAGAAGGATAAGAAAGTAAACGCGGGTACAAGAGAGTAATCGTAAAGGAGGGGAGCGAGAAGTTTCAATTGCTTGGCGACGAAGGGATCCAACAACTCTGGAGTGATATCTTTTTTACGACGGCACTGTGTGCTACACGTCATCGGGGAAGTGCTGCGCGATACCCTGCCCCTCTTCTCTCTCTCTCTCTCTCTCTCTCTCTTCGCTCTCTTTGCCCCACTGTACACCCTTTCCTTCCCCCCGTGCACGTGCACGCGGAGACGCGCGCGGACACGTGTGCGTTGCGTGCCCGATACGCGAGCGCGGCTCGCAATAACGAAAAGTAAAAGTTTCATCGCAAGGGCATATGTGGAAAAAAACTGCTCGTAAGAGCGGCGACGCTTTCTTCTCGCGCATAGGAATAATGAAATCAATATGTTTGCCATTATATGTTCCTTCCTCTTATGTATCCAGAAACAATCGGAGTAAACTGAATTTTTGATCGAGATGTATCGATATTAAGCCTCTCTAATGTCTCTATGTTTATATCTCTATTAAATGGAATTAATTAAAATTTATCTCGGTGACAAAATTAAAAATATCTGTTTAATTTGAAGTACTGGAAGGATTAAAAACTCTCCGCATTATGCGCCTATGAATGTCATCCGATAAGTTCCTCGAGACAACCCGCATAAAATTTTTTTCTCATGTTCATTTGAGCTCTTATATACGCTCAAGAGAGTTCTCAGTCATGGTTATTATTCTCGACAATAAGGCTCTGCCCTATATATACACCTACTGCATATGCAACAATGAGCAAAATTTCACTTTAATGTTAAATTATGTACCTGTATATCTGTATATATACATATATAATTTTTTCAACACTAATATTTGTTCTGTATTTTCGAGCATAAAGTTAAGAGAATTCTCTCGTTTATCTAGCTTCATTAAAAAGAAGGGCTAACCCATTTCTTTCTTCGAGCATATAATCGCCATTAAGGACTTTTCTGGAGCGTAAAAAAGTTTTGAATCTCTCTCTCTCTCTTTAGTTGAAAGAAAAATAACCAATGTAAACGTGAGAAACCATTACGCGCGCGTTCTAGTTACATTCTAACGCCTCTAGCACTTGATAGTAAGAATAAGTCTCTTCTCACTCTTCATATCGCAAGAGAAAAATTGCGGGTGCAAATTTTTACAAATTGACAATTAAATACTATTTAACATAAATATCATCCGTTGCGTTTTATGTCATATTCATGCCGATGCATTCTGAATGAAATCGCAAATTTTCGATAACGTGGCCAGGCATCGGTAGGAAACTTCAAAGTACAAAGATCACTCGAGCATCTGTTAGATATTACACGTTTACATTACAGGTCGCGCATGTACGATGAAACTTGGTAGAACTGACATCCTGATTGCTCCGCTCTCAGTATGCCGTGCAACGATCGTTCAATTAGCGACAAAGGATCGTAATCATAGTAATGATACTGACGACGATATTGACACTTACCGGCCGCTCTTCGTAATGACCATTTCCGTTCCGAGCTTGTGGAATTTCTCCCAGAGCTCCTTGCCCTCAAGCGTAACTTTGGGATCGTCAACGACACCATCCTCCTCTGGATGATGGGGCGGTACGAGGGGATGATGCGGCGCCGTAAGGGGGTGATGCGCGGCCAGGGGATGCGGCGACGTGTGGAGCATCCCCGGCGGTAGCGGTGGCCTCAGGGGCCTCATCGCGGGGCCGCCGGGACCTTGGTGATGATGATGTAACGCTGCCGCGGCTGCCGCCAGGACAGCGGCCTCTTCCGGCGTGTGCGGACCCAGACCTAGACCTGAAATTTTCAAATGTCAAATGTTCTGAGAATTAATTGGAAAACATCGTAAACTGTATTCTTTCGTGTATAAGAAAGTGACGAATAAAATTAATTAAAACGTCCGACAATTATATAGTTTTAAGGTGGGATTAATTTAATTTATCGCGATTGAGGGACCATATAATCACGGTAATCGAAAATCGTTATCAGTTTGCGCACGACGGGCAACATCTGGAGGCGCTATTCCACGTAAACGCAAGATGCGAGCCATAATGATCCGGTGATCTACAGCGCAGGCTGAAGATCAGCGACGGATAACAAGTAAAAGACAGCTGCCTAAGTTTCGCGAGGGTGAATCACCTGGTAACTCGCAGTAGCAACCCCCAAAGAAAAGTTTCGGATTCTTCTCTACGCCACCCCTCGACGATCATCTTCTCCCTTTACCTGACCCTATCTTCGAGTTAGAAACTTTATCGTCTTCCTCTTCTCCTTAAGTTGCTCCTGTCGCGACGACTTAAGAAGGGCATTTTGAGCAAATCGCGAACGATCGCAAGTGGTTATAGACATTATATCTCTTCAATCAAAGAGATGTATCATTAAAAATAAACCCGATGCAGCCGCGGATCAATATAGCAGTTTACTTGTATCTTCTTCGATAATCGATCGTTGCACGTCGCGACTTCGCGAGTCCAGCGATAAAGATTTTGTAATTAGATAGAACAAAAGGGGATTTTTAATTATATTTAGAGTTTGACTATATATATATATATATATATATATATATGTTTGTGTGTGTGTGTGTGTGTGTCTAATAAAGTTGTGAGTTATTATTCTTGTCAAACCTGTTAATTTAATCGCGATTAAACTGTGGAAGAAAAAGAGAGAGACGCGCAGCAAAATACTTTTAAATAATTCAGCATTAAACAAATGCATTATCGCGAGTAAATATGTAAAACTGCGACGATTTCCCGGAAATATGTCTTGACGTCTGCGATCACACAAATATCAATAGTTTCTCGTTTCACGCTCGTTTTGTGTTAAAGAGCGTGACTTGTATGCGTGTATGTGAGAACGGAATTGCATTAATCCGTTTAAATAATATCACCGTTCGCTATAACGTCAACTTAGTGAGAATGATTAATGTAAATCACCGTCTGTAAATGTTATGAGTAATGATGTAGTTAATAGTCAACGACACATATACGGCTCCCAGTATTTCCTTTCCTTTTCGATCAATTACCATCTGTAAACGGAAAAAATGGAAAACCTGTTATATACCGCGTAATGACTTTATAATTGTTATCATAGCAGATCTCTGTAAGTCAATCCCTATCTCGATAACGGTTATCTTTACGAGTTATTTATTTTTATCCTATTTCTTTTTGCATGCATTAAATATGCAGTCTATAATTTTTTTTTTTTTTTTTATCGTATTAGTTTTCTCGATGAAACTTCACGTCAGTTAAACTAATTCTTTATATGCAACTAGCAATTTGATTTATCTTCAAAATTAATATGTAAAATGGATTTATCATGCGATGCTGTCTTTCAAAACGATTGATGACAATAATTACTATAATTGTGCGCGTATCTATAATTTCGGCCTATGTCAAGTATAATATAATTAATATTTATGTATTTCATTTAAATTATTTTGCGCGGATGTGATATCTTTAGCTGAATCAAAAAATAGAAAGAAATATAAAAGGATACGTTTAAAAAACAAAATCTTGCGTTTTTAACGTTTCAATTATTTTGTTATATCACCATCTGTTCGTTTCATATAGTTTTTTTTTTTT